CAGAATTCAGGCCTAAAGGCCACCCTAAGGCACAAAGTTACTTAAAACAGCGATCTGCAGGGGCTCAGTTCGCATATGCCGCAAGCTCGGGGGGAAAACATGGGTACTTAAACGAAAAAAATGGTAAAGAGTTCTCGTGTCTCAGATGCTACGCTAATTCGGTACCGCTAACATTACGGTATTTTACATCGTATTTCAAAGTTCTCGGACACGAATACGCAAAAATCCTCCAATCCCTATTTTGTTCACATTTTGACAGCAGGAGTACGTTTAGAAATGAAGTGTGAAAATAGAGTAGTTGTTTGTCAGAGTGCTCTGACGTCATCACTTGGAGTGCACTCTGGGTGCGCTATTTCTGAATGTATTGGGGCGTTGCGGTGAATGTCAATGTCAAACCCGGTAAAAACCAATGTAAAAAACAATGAACTATAGTCAAAAACTGGAATGCGCACACATTGCCATATCTGCCAAAAAAATTTAGCCATGAAAGACAGATGCCACAAAGGGGAATGTTGTTTTTTTCTGTTGCTCGCTGACATATGACGTTTTGGAAAGTTTTGTCATATTTACCTTCACAGGTTTCATCAATTGGAATACGTGTTGGAAGCAATTTCCGCCATTTAACATAATGAGTGCGACAAAAACAGGTATCCCCTCCGCAGCAGCGGCACTAGGCTTCACGTTCGTCAATATGTGTTCGCATTCCAGTTTTTGGTTATAGTTCATTGGTAAAAACCGCAGGGGTGTGTTCAAGGAAGGCGATGCTAATGCCAAAACCTGCTTTTCCCCCTCCACCTGTAATGCCGAACCACATAGGTTGGAGCCGAACTCGAACGCAAAATGCCAATTTTGGCTTGGCTGTAGCCATTCCAGAACGCAGCCCGGAACGTCTTTCAACCCATTGAGTGCGATAATTTGGGCGTACTCTGGGCATTTTTACTCCCGATTTCTGAACGATTCCAGCGTAACGTTCCGAGTAAGCACCTGTTAATTTCTGACAGGGTTTAGAGTTACTCTAGGGTAACACTCCCACCCAGAACGCAACCGTTCAGTAATCAATCTAACCCAACTTTTTTTTGCTTATTTTCTAACTTGAAGATTCTGAGTTTGATTAATTATCCCTTGGTGTTTTTTATGGAGGAATTATTAGAAGTTGCTGTTCTTGCAGACGGAAATGGAGGGTAAACTAATTTTGACATAGCATAGCGGTACGGTAAGGAATCCGCTAAAGTCCCGTTAGATAGGGGGCTCCGCGTAAGAACTGTCATACTTGTCAAATAGCGTTACGGTATTTGAAATTTGGACGGCACGAGAACTCTCTATATTAGAAATGTGCTCTACGTTAATTTGAACAATGCACTCTAAATAGCCTTGTTCGCGGACAACATTTCGAACCACTCTGCACAAAAATTCATTCAGGATTATTCTGCAACGGTTAACTGATTATTATGAACCCAGTTCACGATTTTATAGTACTGCGAAAGACTCCCGAACAGGAATCAAAAACTTGGAACTATCTATTACCGTGAATAAAGTGTGTTTTTTTTTTAAAGATCAAAGTCAAAATGACATTATGTTGGCAATACAATGTAAAATTGTCAATGCTTTCAAATTTTTTATGCAGAAAAGGCTTGTGTTGCCAACATAGTTACTAAATTTTTGACGTGGGGAATTATCTTAAAAAAAAAAAACGTACTTTAACTAAATTCTGAATTTTCAAAAAAAAAAAAAAACATAAAACCATCTTAACTATATAGCCTTGTTTCCGGATCACATTCCGAACCAATTCGGGATTACCGTAGAGCAGAGCCGCTTTCCAGTAACGAATTTTAAGGTGCTCCACACCCGGAACTTCACACTGTAGTGCTACAATTGCTACAAACAACTGTTGTTTCACTGGAACACACCCTACTTTAAGCATCGTGTATCGTGTTCTTGTGAGGGCAGGGGAGAGGGGAAAACGAACAGTTCACGCCTATAAACAGCCTGAAACGCTCTAGAGCAGTGCATCACTGGAAAGCAACTCAGATGATTGATTATGGACTTAGTTCAGGAATTTATCTCACTACGAATGACTCCAGAACAGGGATCAAAAACTTAGAACTGTGATCCAATGGCTTGGTTTGCAATAAGAATTCGGAACTATTTGCTGCTGGAGCAGATTGAATTAAGTAGGGTCTTCATTTGTACTGCTTTTCTTGCTACAAGCATATCTCAGCAGATTGGCGTTCACTTGTCTCATATATTGAAAGCTCATAAATGGCAGCTCCTAGCAGATCTTTATAATTTTCGAGCAGATAGAGCAAGTACAAATGAACAGCCTATAATTCGCGGTTCGTGAATCGTGGATCAATAATTTCCAAATGTTTGGCTACAGTTCTTTGAGACTCAATTCATGATCGATTCCGAACCAGTTCTACCGATTTGAGGGATTTAACAAGTATACTCTGTGTTAAAATATGAGCTCCGAGTATTCTTTTTCTGTTCCAAAATCGTTCGCAGTGAAACAAATCCTAAACGTTTACATTTTGTCAGCTGAGTTGAGTCATCTAACCCAACTTTTTTCGCTTGTTTTCTAACTTTTATTTATCCTGAGATTCCTGAGCTTGAGTAATTTTCCCTTGGTCTTTTTTATGGAGGAATTATTAGAAGTTGCTGTTTTTGCAGAAATAATTGGAGCGTAAACTAGTTTTGACATAGCATAGCGTTACGGTAAAACATCCGCTAAGTTCCGTTAGATAGCGGGCTCCGCTAACGGTAATACCGTAAGAACTGTCATACTTGTCAAAGAGCGTTACGGTATTTGAAATTTGGATAGCACGAGAACTCTCTATTATCGAATCCAGCAAACGGTAATCACTTATCAGACCCATGATCATCTACGCTTTGTTGATTTGGTGGCCAAAAACTGAACAAGCTTCTGCTCAAAACAAATCAACTGAAGTGTGTGAAAAAAAAGAACCAAGAATAGAGACTTACAGGCAATTCCAGATAAGGAAAAACTGAAGTTCGAAGATTTATCGAGGAATTTTTCTTGCACTCAGGCTTTGAAAAAACATCAAAGCTTCAATGAAATAAACAAAATTGAGTGCAGACAGTTGTTATAATTATTTTTGGATACCTCCTTTCCAGATTTATTTTGTTATGCATTTTTTTTGATAAAGTTCTTTTGAGGATTTGGAACTTAAAAATTTAAATCTTCTGGCGCCCACTATAGACACTCCTTACTCACCCTAATATTGCTCTCTGGCGAACACTGTAGTACACTTTTTGTAAAAAAAGAGGCTACATAAATTGGCGCCCAACATGGGGCCCATCGGTAGATCCTTGAAAATTAAGGATCAATAAAGCGTCACTGTGGTACACCAGATGAAAGAGAAACTGGAAGAACTCAACAGATGATAACAAATGATAACTCATTCGAGATGGACTCGGGGTCTGAAACATGTAAAAGGTTCATAACTATCCCATCAAAATAATCTGAATAACTTCTTCCCAAGAACAGAAGAGACATTGGAACAGTCTTCGGCCTACTTACTGGGTATTGCATAGTGAAATATCACCTAAAAACGATAGGCAAAGCAGATAATAACTTGTGCAGATTTCGCGAATGCTCAGTATTGCAAAAGAAGTGAACACCATACAACCCAAGAAGCTGGCTTCTTCTGGAAATCTTGGAGACCAACTAGAAGCAGAGCGGAGAAAGTCCTCAGAAGGCAACTTGAGAAGTCTAATGGGTTATAACCCAGCTCAGAAACTGATTAGGTCACCCAAAAAAGACCATCCCCTACAAGCCGTGGGAACTTGTAGAGAGATTTTTCAAAAGTATAGGAATGTACGAAGCAATATATCAAATTGATTGATGATTCATTCACCACATAAGGGCACGGCTAATGCCTGAGACCAACATACAACTCAAGAACCTGACTTGAACTGATTGGAATTCTGAAACAAGAAGGAGCAATGCTTGTGAAATATTTCAATAAATCCAAAAGAAATATTTGTAAAATTCGAGCAGATATTTTACCCTAACAACTCTCTAAATCACTAACTGCTGACAAGACACTAAACGACCATACCACCCTCTCTCTAAACAAAGTGCGGAACATCTGGGCTGGGACTCTGTAACGGATAGAGATCGTTATTCCCTCAGAGGTTATTCCTATCGCTATGGCACCTGCTGTCTTCTCTGCCTGCTGCCTAGGGAATTCCTACTTACAGGTGAAAGATATATACACAGAAGTTGTGGGTCTCCAACCAATGCGACTGAAGTCACAAAAACCCAAAACGTGGCTTAGATATGAGGATGCCGCCTTCATAGGAAAAGCAGCTTCGTTAATTTAGGTAACATCTTAAAAACAATTAGGTATGAAAAAAGAAGAGAATCATGTCATTCCTTTCCTTGATGATCCAGTTGAAAACTCAAAAAAAAAAATTTAGTGTACTGTACAAATGCTCAAATAGAGCAAGACCAGATCAGACCTTCTTCCGACGAAAACCTGTGTCTGGAGATAAAAGCTTTGTTCCAATACAGTCACGATTCTGCGCAAAACTTTAAATTTGTGCGTAGAATCCGAAATTCGAATACTGAGTGGTTTCGAAACCGTTCATGGGTCGGTTTTTTGGCGTGTTGGAACAAACCTAAAGTTTTTGGGTTCTAATGAAAAGAAACCGTTTTTGAAACAATCACATCAAGGCATTGAGTTTTAATGTATATGCGATGAAAAAAAATCAATTTAATGTGAATCAAAAGACGCTGCTACAAAACATGACATGTTTGAATCAATTATGAAGTACGGACTGTTTGCTTGAGGTCAAGCAGCCAAGACCAATTCCAACAAAGTCTCTACGGTGCAAAATCTTTCAGTAGGGTCCATAGTAAATACCGGTTTCTCAACAAAAAGAAAGAAGAACCAGTTCCATGGAGTGATAGTATTACTTTTATCAGTTCAAACGACAATATTGACAACTTTGAACAGACAGAATCCACAAAAACTTACCCCTCGTGAATCCCTAAACAATATGGCCGCATGGTGTGGATCCAGGAACGCATCGGAAGCTCGATGAATGTTCGTGGGTATTATGGCACCTAAAGATTGTCGTCTCCTTTCCGGATCCAAAGATCTTTGTTTTAATTGAGCTCCTGAAACAAAAAAGTCTAATTGAGTTTCTAAGTTTATAATAATTATGCGTTTCCCGCAAAACAATAATTATTATCGGTGTGCATATATAGTATTTGTAGTACCCATTTAGAATAACCTCATCCTTATTCATCAATCACGAATCAGGTGAAACAAAAAATTACCAACAAAAACGAACGTCGACTGTTAATACGTCAATTTCATCTACAAATAGGAAATTCCTAACCTAATTTTATTTGTGTGTCAAGAAGCGACATACGTTTTGTCACTAAAACGACAGGTACTTCTAAATAGGTATTAAAAATACTATATATAGATTATCCTGTGTCAACTGACTGAAATCAATTGACCCAGAAAATGAAGCCCTTTTGTTTGTCTAGCTATATGGTTCATTTCATGCTAGGGCTAAATTTGATGAACGTTTCACTAATAATAGATTTTTGAGGTCAAGTAGCTTTACCTTTGAGCCTACCTAATAATAATTGTTTTAGTAACTGTTTGTCATACTTATTCCAATTATGTAAACTAATTTCTAGTTCAATAGCTTTATAACTGGCTCTTGTTAGGTGAAAGGTCACCTCAGCATTAAACAAGCTTCACTGTACCTAACTAGTTTAATTGGCATTATAAGCAACTGGAAAAGTGACTTGGAGCGAAACTAAAATTGATAAAGCGCTTTATACTCTTTGTAGTTTGTGTATTTGTTCAGTAAGTCGCCGTAGTTGCCTCTAATTGAACTGTTTTCATAAATTATTGATGATACAATAGAAATTGTAAGAATCTGTAACGAATATCGTGTAAAATTGTAGAAACGAATGTTTGCTTTAATATTTTTTTTTTATGTACCTTACGACTTGAGTATTCAACTAACTGGTCTAAGACCTACGACATAATATACCCTCTCCAACGTGTTGATACTGAATTCTTATGCAGACCCCGAGGCTGGGATTTTTCACTTGAACATAATGCCTCCTAATGAGACAAGATCTAAACATAGAAAAGGATTTCTACAGTTTGAGACATCTGCTAAATATGGATGAATGTAGTGCTTACGAGCATAATCAGCAAGATGCTGATAATATTTTGATTTTCCTTTTCAGGAGTGAAACATAGTAAATGAACTTATTCAGAAACTGAGTTCTGAATCAAATATGTGTCTTTTTACTTACTTACTTACTTTCGAAAGAGTCTTTTTTGGCGTATATGCTCTAAAAATACCAAATTGCATAATTCAGATGAAGCTTGTGACCTTGATTCTCCCTAACATGCCCGCATCAAATCGGCAGACCGAAAAGGATTCGCAGCAATTTATATTTTGATTGAGAAAAGTATTGCTGCTAAGCCAGAAGACCGTAAACGATGGCGACCTTTTGGTGACCTACAATCTCCAACCAATAAATCCGATTTAAAACTGTTTGCAGCAAACACAGCATCATGCGTGGGTCGGATAGTTAGAGCGTTAGAGTTAAAATATTCAATTTTATGCTGCTACCTACACACATGTCTATGATACCTACCTAACGAATTATTGAAAGTATTTTTTCAAGTATGTACATATTATGTAAATTACTACTCACTTCTGAAAGATCTTCAAAAGTGACTCAAACCCTTAATTTTCTTTTTTTGGTTTCAAAATTCTTTCATTCAAGGCTACAAATATCTCAAGATTATCACGCTATTGCGAGTATTTTTATTTCACTTCAGAGAGATGGAGCTTTTATATTGTAACATCGTATAATAATGTGGAAAAGCCTCTATATGAAACCAAAAATACGACTTGTTTGTATCGTTTTTATTTTTTTATCACTTTACTGTCGATCAATGAGGATGAAAATAAAATGAGACGTCAGCTGTGAGCTGTGACTTATTTGCTAAAAATATATTTCAAAGCTAACATAAAGTTTTTCTTAAAAGGAAAAAAAAGCTGTTTCAAAATCTAAATTGGGATTTAAACCCACATGATGGGAGAGTATCATTATTTTGGGGTATCAATCCGTTAGAAGTGAATGCCCGACGTTTCTAGAAAATTAAACTCTGCACTAGTAAAGTCAAACTACTGTTTGACTCCAATTCCGATAGATGTTTTGTGTAAAGTTCTGGAATGAAGTTTTAAATCAGTAAAACCTGATATCAGTTGAGCGGCTGTGAAAGTTTTTAGCAACATCAATTTTCAATGGCAGATGTTTTATATTATTTTAAATATAGGACTAACATGAAATATAATTTCTTATACTACTCTAGAATATAAAAGCTTAATAATAGGTATACAGTTTACAGTTGATATCCTGAGCAGCTTTCTGTGTAATAATAATTATTATAGAACAGAAAATAAATTATGTTAACAAGCATTCACCATTGCGTCCAGAAGAAAATCACTAAAGTACACACAGGAATCAAGTATGTAGTTAAAGGCCTGGTTTATTTATATTCCCATAAACTTACTGGTAAGTGTTCACAAGACAAATTCACTAATCTATAATCCTATTAGTAGGCGGATAACTAACCGACTAATAGGATTACATATTGCGTTTTTATTCTTTAGAATGCATTACCTCACAGATTTCCATAAGGTGAATAAACCGGGCCTTAAAGTACCTAAGAATGCCTTTAACCTAACTGGGATCAAATTGACCCATTATCCAAATACAACATAAAATTATGTTTCACTGTAAGTAAACAGTAAAACACTGGGTCATGGTGAGTTAGAAGCTAAACCAAACCATAAAAATCCATTCTGGAAATGTCGGAAGCATTTTTATATTAATTTCTCATTAAATGGAATTAGAAGCAAAGTTCAGAAACAATTTCCCTGACACAAATGATAAAAAGTATTGAAGAAAAAAAAAACTTTAATCCTCAAACTCTCCGTTTTCGAAACTCTATATTTAGATTCTTGTTGCGAACGAAGCCTGTTTTCCTCGATTTAATCCTGTTTTCCGGATCATTAGAGTTTTATTAAACGTGTGGCTGCAGAAAATAACTTTATGGAAAATTTAGAAATTGAAAAGTCAGACATTTTAGTGGGTTGAGGCGTAGCAAAATAACAATAATTTATATAAAAAGCGCATTCACCGTAGTATCAAGAGCAATCATTCTGAATTGAGTATAGTATTATTGTATAATGCAGTTATTTTTTTTTTACAAGTCGCGCAGAGAGGCCTATTTTTAACTTGACAAGCATAAAAATGTATTTTCTATATGGAAACATGTCTTCAACTGCCTGATGCAGGTTTGTACAAAAATATACAATTAAACGGAGTTAGTTTTTCCAGTATTGCAAACATTTTCTTGAACAAAACCATCAATTGAACCCAATACCATATCTGGGATTACCAAAAACTATAATATGGAATAAATAAAAGTTAAATGTGTATATACAGAGAGGCCAGACTTAACCCAAAGAATTGCTCTAAAAAAATTAGCTATTCCATTATATTTCATCAACCTTTTAAGTACCCAAAAAATGAGGAAGCAAAGAGTAAACTTTGACCTATGTTTGTTATTTGCCTCAAAATCATGTTGGAACCAATTTGCCATGCAACGTTCTCCATTATCCTATGTGGACGATTTCCAATGAGCCACCCTATACTGGGTGTTAATAAATAGTGGGATTAAACTTCTAGGATAAATAGTACTCATTAAAATAAGACAAGAATTAATAGAAACATAGGTCCGTAAATGCTTAGTTTTCAAGATACAGGGTGTCAAAGTTTGAAAAAATCGATATTTCAAAATCCGTTTTCGAAATTTCTTTAAACTTGTCAGATTTCTTTGTAGTAATAACAAAAGGCATCTTCTGACTCAATTAGATTTATTTCAGTGGCGCCCCAGAGGGCAACTACGTTGGTAAAAGTAGAAAAAACATGGCATGTCACTATTTTTTTATAGCTTTAATATTTTTTTTCGGATCAAACAAGTCATATTCCAGTTAAAAGATACCTTTTGTTATCACAAACAAACCTGCCAAATTTTAAAAAGAAAATTGGAAAAGGGATTTCTGAGCTAAAAAAACGATTTTTTTTCAAACTTTGACACCCTGTATCTCGAAAATTAAGCATTCGCGGACCCATGTTTCTATTAACTTTTTTTCTATTTTAATGAGTACTATTTATGCTAGAAGTTTGATCCGACTATTTATTAACACCCTGTATAATCAACATGAATATGAACCAGAAAAATTGGATCTTTCTAAAACTAGTTTGGTCTACATCAGTAACAGTATTGAAAGCAACAACAAATAATAATTTACTTCAAGGTAGTTATAAAAATAAGAAAAATATCAGGGGTATCGGATATCCTGATAGTTTCTGGTGACACGCCATTTAAATGCAAATTTTTCAAGAAAACGCTTAAAAGGTTAAGGCATCTTTGCCAAGGTTTGCACGATATATTTATTTCAACATATACGATTAATTAAGTATAGTTTATACGAAGTCAATCCGAATAGCATAAAAACTGTGTAGGCGGCATCTTCTTATGAAATTAAGCATATGCGTGCAACAGTCTAGGAATTCCCAAAAACGAAGAATTCTTATTCTAAGTCCTAGGCTTCTTATTCTAAGCATATGCTTAATTTCATCAGAAGATGCCGCCTACACAGTTTTGAGGCTATTTGAATTGACTTCGTATAAACTGTATATATTTCTGTCAAATTCTTACCTTCTTTCAATATAGTATTATAAATCCTGTAAGTACTCTCGCAATCGCTGACAGATGGCCTTTTGCTACTACAATCCAACGATTTGCTCCTCATCCTAAACTCATCAGCTGCATTATTACCGCCCTCGCTGCACGAGCTTCTCCTATAACCGTTCTCCGATCTCCAATGGTGCACTTTTTTCCTAAAGTGCCCAATCAATTCCTGAATGGAATGGTGATGATGGTGTCCGTGCCTCTTGAAGAAATTCTCCTTTGGCGATGAACTATATTCAACTTTTGGTGAAGATGAGTGTTCGGACTTAGAGCTGAAGCTTTGGTTTTCGCTCTCATCTGAAGGAGTTTCTGGGCAACTTTCAATGCTTATGCTCGGCGAGGGAGTGGGCTGATAATGAGAAAAATTGTTCACGTTGTGGTGATTGTAATGGCCCAAGTAGCCCATATGGCGATTTAGGTGCGGTGGCGCCACATGGTGGTTATGATGATGCGACATCTGAGGTTGTTGGTTCAGTTGGAACAAATTACTGAAGCTCTGCATTATGATGGTTTACTTTTTCATCAAGAGGTTACATAACCTAGTTAGGGAAAAATTTTAAAGCTAAGGTTTTGTTTCTATTTTTTTTTCTAAATGGTACCTTTGGTGTCGCTTTTCTAACCCAATTTCAGTTTTATTAATCAATTGTGTCGAAATAATAATTACGCAAGTAAAATGCTGATGCTAATATACATAGGTACTTTATAAACATTCATATTCAAAACTAGAACCTTTCATTATAATATTAAACTGACCTGAATCAAAACGTTTATATTATTAAAGACAGTAAGGATCTTTTGAATTTTCAATTTTCCTCAACATTTTTGGAATAGGTACCTACAAACAAGTCACTTTTCCAATTTTTAGATAAATCATGTTATTAATAAACATGTTGTCGGCTTTAAGGATTATTAGGCTTACGGCATAGGTACGCCTTAGAAAATTGCGCAATGTCGTCTCTAAATTTATAGATTGACACAACTTTTTCTGTAGTTTGCAAACTGTCTTTGTCAACCAAAAATTTTATGTTGAGATTTTGTGTCTAAATGATCACTGGGAACCCAAACTCCTGATTCCTAGATTTGAAGCCAAAATCTATGAAAAAAGCTTCCTATCTCTGGAAGCCAATAAATTCCTTCCTTCAATTTTAAAACCTGGTTCAGAGAAAAAGTAAGAATAATTATTGCTGAATTACTGTGTCAAGCCACAATCCCGTCCATAATTTGAACCACAAGGGAAGAATAAATTAAACGATAAAAAGACAAAGTTCTACTTTGCCCCAAAAGGTTAACTTCAATTTTATTCACAAAAAATAATGAGAGTTCAAAATTTTTTTCTTAAGGAAATTTACATTTTTAAAGCCCAATGAAAAATAGTTCCATATTGAATGTTGTTTCTAATTAAATGTTCTCGTTGGAAACTTCACTGATTAGGTAGGTACACACTCAAAACTCTCTCGGTTAAAGTTTAATGTTATTTCAAAAAGTAATTTAATTTAACTTTACTGAGTATAAAATTACCTTGCGGCTCTTTGGCCCGTGAGTACAAAAACACCTGAAATAATTACAATAAAGTTTCGTCTCGATAGTTTGTTATTCCATTCTGAAGCGCATTTCGCAAAATTTCTATCGTCCTCAGCAAAAAAAAATTACTAGCTTGGACAAAATAGTAGAAATGAGACTCATGGAAATAATAAACATATGTTTATGTAATGTATATTTCCCAGAGCAGATGTATAGTAGGTATTATGATTCAAGTTTTGTTTGCATATATCTTGTCTCTTTAATATTATGTATTATTATAGTGATAAATATCGCAGGCACGTCCTTTGAAGTTTAAGAAGTAAACATATATAAATACTTCATTCATTTTGGAGACTGCACGTCTCATTTATTAACGAAGGCATACATTTCCAACACATCATGCTCGAAGAAAAATGTTTTTATTTCATTACTGCAGTTGATAATATTTTAAATTATAAGACGTGACATCTTAGTTCATTGGTCCATCAAGGGTAAATAATCCACATAAGCTTTTTGGCGAGCTTTCTCATCTGGGTCAAAACTTAAATATATGGATAATCCGTTTTGAGACCAAATATTGTCGATTTTTAAGTTATTCCTTGTTCCTTATTGAAGGAAAACGGTCCAATTTCTATGTGTGATCGCAGCCTAAAGGGCTATGGCATCCAAAGAATTCAGGTTTTGGGCAAAATTATAATGACATTAAAAGTCGATGAGGTACAAAAAACTGTGAAGTGTCTTGTAGTTCCAGACCACTTTCAAGAAGTTGGTTATTGATTGGCCAAACATTTACTGAACAGACAGGAATAATGATATTTAAGGATAGCGATAACTTGAAATTCAGTGAACTTCAACAACCTAAAACTTACAAGAAAATTAAACTATGGCTACCAGAACCAATCGTACTTCCATCAAATCATGTTGGAAATTGGAAAGTCATCAGTAAAATTTAATTCCAGGGAAACCTCTATGTTGAAGCAAGCTTCAGATGTCAACTTGGAGCCGAATACGCTATTCCTAGAATGTTAATCAATCTAGCTGAAAACCAAACAGCAGTTATTCCAATAATTGATTTATCTGAAAGAGATCCCACATTGGGCAATACACATCCATTAATAAGAGATGTTTCTTGTGAATTAGATATTAGCGATACCTCTGAGCAAGTTTTAAGAGTGGACATTAACCAACTTCCTTTATTCAAGGAAGAAAATATTAACATTGGTATTACTGATGCAATCTTACGAAAGAAACTAATGACGCTTCTTCAAGAATATAGAGACCTTTTTGGGACAGATCTGAGCATCTTGGTGGAGCTAGATCTGCAGTACTAGAAATGGAACTTTTAGAAGATAAACCTTTCACCTACAGACCTTACAGAATGGCTGAACTGGAAAAGGAAAAAGTAAGGGCAACTTTATCAGAACTTTTGGACGCAGGAATAATTCGGGAATCTGAATCATCATACGCTTCTCCTGTGCTACTTGTTAAGAAGAAAGACGGAAAAGATCGAATGTGCATTGATTATCGAAAATTAAACCTGAAAACAATCAAGGATAGATTTCCCCTTCGAATCGATGATCAAATAGATGAGTTGAACGGATTTTCCATTTTCACTACCTTAGACCTAAGTTCTGACTTATTGCTGAACAAAGTAGACATTTAAAACACCAGAGGGACATTATGAATATAATCGGATGCCATTTGGTTTATGCAATGCTCCAGCAGTCTTTCAACGCATGATGAACAAGATCCTAGCTCCATACCGCAATATTACTGCAGTTTACATAGATGATGCCATTTTACCCGGTACAATTCCTGAAAAAAATTTAGAAAGCATTCGGAAAATACTAGAGGTTTTTAAAAGTGAAAACTTGACATTAAACATTGAGAAATGTGTCTTCCTCGCCATGTCCATAAATTACTTAGGCTTTGAAATAGATGAACAAGGTGTACGACCTGGTGCAGCAAAAATCGATGCTGTATGACAATTTCCAACTCCCAAAACTGTCAAGCAAGTGCGTCAATTTTTGGGATTAACTGAATACTTCCGAAAATTTGTTCAAGATTATGTTGTCCAGTTAGACTATGTATATCATACAACGTCGCGCACCGTTGCCAACCAAAAAGATCTGAAATTCCCCTACTTTAAATGCGTTAAAAAGTACTTTTAATTTTGTTAGGTTGGCAGCATACATTTACTAAATGTGACGTCATTCTAAATATAGCGTAAAAATCCTATACACCAAGAAGCAGAACTGCTAGTGTGCTTACTGCTGAGGCTCTCTGAAACAAGGCACAAAAGTACCTTAGACGTTAGAGTATGTTGATCCTTCCCAACAACGCAAGATCAATAAACAGATTAACTCAAACTTTAAACATTGATAAAGAAATTATCCCCCAGGGCTTTAAAAAATGGTAAAATTCTAAGTAATCTTACTTTACGACACATCCGAAACACATAATTAATCTGCCAAAAACATTTTCTTTTACAATATAACTGGTTCTCAGCGTGAGACTATGAGACCCAGATTCTAAAAATGAAGGGGACCATATTTTCACAAGGACAACGTTACAAGGGGTATTGATCTCTGCATTTCTACTCTTTTCTTTATGCTGGATTTCAACACAATGAACCCAGAACAAGCCGGAAAAGGAGTGTTTCCAAATCTTTTGTCGGTCAAGGTTATCAAGACTTTTGAATTTATTAATAAAGTTTTTACTGAGGATGATGTTCTTTCGTATCACTGCGGAGGGGTAGAACAATTGGAATCAATACAAGACTGATATAGGTTAAATTTTCACCTCGAATTATTCTAATATATCTAAGTAAAAATTTTCCAAAAAATTAAGTTACGTTCATGGTGTATCAAGCATTGGCACATTTCCTTAGTATTGAAACAAAAATTCAGACGTGATATTATTAATCAAATTAATTGACGGATTTAATTACGGGTCTCAGCTTTTTTGAATAAATAATGTAATTTTGTCAGAAACACGGACTTTGATGGACAAGCAGATTTATTAATGTTATGAAATTTGCACAGGGCACACGTTGTCTTTTATGAAATTTATCTGACTTTGTACACCAAAAACCGCATTGTTTTAAAAAACAACACATTAATCTTCAAAAAATACATGTTTGTTGATTCAAGGCCTGGATCTGTAGCCAAACGTTGTTATTTTCAGAGTTTTATTCATTTAAAAATAAACAAAATGACTACTTTCTAGACAATAACAATTTGAAGTAATCTATAACTAGATTTTATTATAAAACAATACTTTAGGTTGGCATTGAGACAATTTATAAGTGTAGATGCTTGATTTTATCTTTGCATGCGAAGATATAAATTATTGATCAAATTTGTTTGTAGTTTATCGATGAAATTAAACAAATTTTGAAGCTGGAAATTATTTATCAAAAAACCACTTGATTGTTGCACACTTGCACAAGTTTATTTTGTTTCATTTAGAGCAACCTTCACATTAGGATTTTTTGCTATTCTTGTATGAAAGTATGTACTTTTTTTATTGTAGTATACCAAGTTGTATTTCTTAAGTTATGCCAATAATTATTAGATAATAGGTTTGGTTCAAAAAATGTATCGGTTTCAAAACGCTTTTCATAAATTGCGTAGTAGCAATGCATTTCTAGATTTAAACGGGCACGGATAATTGCCATTTTGATATTTTTATGTGTGTTTTAGTATGCACTTATGTAACATGTTTTTGGTATAATTGAAAAAAAAATGCAGAATTATCTTGGATCATTGCAAATTGGTTTTTTGACTTTGCCTGTGAAATAATTTGTCCATTTACATGTGTTATATGCCAGAATCCAGAATCAGGAAAATCAAACCAATGAACTTCGAGCAAATCGATTTAATGAATATCTTAGCATAGCGCTTTCGGTCTCTCGGCCATCCTCAGTGCACGAATCAAAATTTGAGAGAGAAGGTTGTATTCACTTGTCAGTTAAAGTGCACAGGAAGTATAGAGGAACCATAGAAAAGTATAGAGG